GCCCGAAGGTTGGATATTTCCCTTTGGAAGCCAGCCTTCTTTGGCGACTCCGTCATTATGCGATCCCGCTCCATCTCGAGGGCTCGGATCTTCTTTTCATTTTCGCGGTTCTGGTGTTCTTGTCTGTCCAAGAGGTTCTTCAGGGCCCTGTGTAGAGCATCACGCTGCTCCTCCACATCCTTAAGACGCTCGGAGAGTTGATCGCGAGATTCAGTGGTCTTGACTGATATAGCTCTCGTTAAGCCGGAAGGGGGTCTTTGAAGTCTAAATGAAGATAGCGGGCCGGTTAAAGAGTTAGAGCGCGACAAGCGAGATGAGACAGGCCCTGCTTCCTCCGAGATGGTATCCATCGCATTAGACTGCAATTGCTTTAGCGACGTGTTCTCAACTTTCAGGGTCTGCAGCTCCTGTTGCATCTTGGTTGATTCGTAGGTCATCTTCTCCAACTCTGCTGCTTGCGCTTCGAGGCCTTCCACGCGAGCCCGAAGTTGAGGTACGATCTCGTCCCGGAGGTTGTCGCGTTCGTTGGCGGCATTTTGGAGCTCACCCTTGAGAGCAGTAAAAAGGTCCTCGAAGTTGTCTTTGGCCTGGCGCTCTTCAGTAAGCTTGCGCCTTAATGTCTCGCAAGTGCTCTCCAACTCCTTAACACGGTCGCTAGTGTCAACGCTATTAACTCTCTCAAGATCAATTCGCGATGCTCTGTCTGAGAGTTCTTTGATCTGTTCGTCAAGCTCTTGTCTCCTGGATCTTTCATCTTGGAGTTTGTTGGTCAATTCGAGCCTGACCTGGGCCTTCTCCTGTTCCGATCTCCTCTGAATCTTTTCAATCTCTTCCCTTGATTGATCATACTCGCTCAACTTGGCGGAGCTGTATCCCGAATCGGAAAAGTAGTCGCTGGTCCTCTTGTTTCCGGTAGTTGTGGGATTGTCCCTCTCTGCTTGCAATCTATCAACTAAGTCTTCCAAGTCCATCTCGCGCCGAATGGACGCAGCCAATTCGGCGGAGATGGCTTTTAGCTCATCTTCCATTTCTTCGATCTGAAGAGACGGCGGTATCGTAGCGGTCGGTGGTGTGGCCAAGTAGGATTCACAGTAGTCTCTCGAATTTGGAGATCCAAATAGTGGCCTGGGGGCATCAAGTAGTGATTGTGGTCCAATTGTTGTGACTGGGGATGCATCGGTAACACTGGTGGCCTTTGAAAAGTTGAAAGGCGATGGAAGAGGCGAATAGCCTTTGTCTGATGCCTCGGTGTTGGAGGAGGGCGAAGTCCAGCCAAAGAATGTCCCTAGCTTTGACGAGCCCGGTGACTTGGGAAGGGGTTTATCGGTATTAGGCGTTTTTACTTCGTAGCTATCAGCCGTTGGCGTTAAGGTCGTATCGTCTTGCTTGAGATTCAAACGTGGGGGTGTTTGCTTCCGGGTGACATGCAACGACATAGTACTTGAACGATTAGAATTATTATTATCCGACGACTCTGAATTATATCCGTCATAAATGTTATCATTCAGCGGGTCCTCCTCTTCGTCACTGAAAAGGTCGTCATACGTGGTGTGTTCGTGTTCCGACGGGTCACTGGTGTGGTGTGTTTGAGGTGCGTCAGGGTTAGTAGCCCGAGAACTTGGGCGTTTGACTTCAGCCGCTGCAACAGCCGGACTGGTCTCCTGGATGGCCAGAGGATGTCGAGACGCGGGGATTCTCCTGGTTAAATTGAAGAATATATTAGAAATCCCGAATTTCGGTGGTACCGCGTTGGATTGTAGATTAATGAGACCTTGACTTACTCTATGTTTCCCTGAATCAATATGATGTCGTTGGGCGATTCCAATGAGGGCGAAAGCACTGGACCAGCCGGAGGACGGGGAAATTCGTACACGGTAGGGCTGTCCAAGGAGAAGGACCGAGAAAATCGTGTTTCTGGTTTGGGAAGACCTTTCGTAATTGTCAAATACTCTCCAGAGGAATATCTTGTTGCGATTGGCGACGCTGTGGCGGACAATGGTTTGCGACGAATAGAGCGAACCTGCGGCAACGATGCGGAGCTATCGATGATAAGATTCTTCGCGTTTCTTGAAACCCGTTGGGTAGAAACTGGATCTTCAGAAGGCGATTGGTCTGCAAAATCAGGAAACGGGTGCTGAGGGAAAAACAGATCAGATGAGGCATGAGAAGTCTCAGAGTTGGCCGTGAGGGAGGGCCGGTGCGGATGGTCTTGCAAGCTCGGCATAGACTGAGGGACAGACATGGTGGTAGATCGACTCCCTTGTCCTCTCACTCATGACTAGTCGGAAATGTGTGGAGTTGGTTAACAACCTGGTCCAAGAGAGATTATTGACTCGGTCTCCCAGACGAGATGGTAATGTTTCACTGACAATAGAGAAAGGCAACTTGAATAGTTGACAACCAGGAAAAGTGAGAGTGAGAGCGCAAGCAACAGAGAAAGAATCAATCTAAACTGGGGGGTGGAATGGTCGAAAGGGGCAAGGCGGCAGGGCTACCAACGAATAGCGTCGCAGTCGGTCTTTTGCCCATTATTAGACCATGGAAAAGGATCCAGGGTGTTAGGAGCATAGGGACTTAAGTGGCTCCTGCTGGTCCTGCTGCTGGTCCTGCAGACGCTCGAAAGTTGACAGACATTTCTCTAGCGCTTGCGATCCCCAGTTGTTCCCCTGTCTCTGTTCTCTTTTGGTTCGAGTGGCTTGAAGAGGGACGATTTTACTGGTTGGTCACTATCTCGCATCCCTGCTAATCTGTCAACCACTTATTAACATCCCGTCGCTGCAGTCCTTGTCGATGTCCATTTTTGTACATCTGCAATTTTACTTTCCCTGCAATCGAGGGTATCCCCGGAGCACAGGTTGGAGAGAGGATTAGTCTGGGGGTGACATGGTGTCTGGTACTAATATCTACACTGCTACATACCTATGTAGACACTGCTGGTGAGAGCGAGAACATCTGGCTGGGAGGGAGAAGTTACAGCGAATCATTTTGTGCTAATCGCATTGCGTATCCCGCTAAGGACCTCGATCCTACTGCGCGTTCTCCTGCATACTGCAGGTACCAATCTGCAAAGCAACGGCATTTCGGTAAATGATCAGCACCACCTTCGTGGGGTGTGTGGTTCGCTTACAGGCGCGTGTGCTGTAAGCAATCTCACCTCCGCGATATCGACTTTCCCCTTTTCAGACATTCAAATATAGAAAGATCGATCTTAATATTTTGATTGTCTGATTCGTGGCGGCCTAGGCGGCTAACGGGAAATTCCAAGGTCAATCGCCGCCTATCATTGTTAATATTTTGCTTTTACATATCTCGTGGCAAATTGCTATGAGCTGATAATAGATAGAGCGCGCGGTAAGTATGTGGCGTTATACTAATCACGTCAGTGGCTGCAATAGACTGAGATGCATACCCTCTGATTGCCCCAGCAGAAAAAAGTGAAGCTGACATGAACATTACTCTACTCTGCATACGGTGCAAATAAGCATCGTCCTGACAAGGTCCCTCAAAAGCTTTGACCTTGATTAGAGGCTAGAAGGTTGATGGATGCTTGAATTGCTTTTATTAAGTTGAGCCTCAAATATTAATGACCCGCAGTATTTGGCTGTGCAAGCGGTTAGTATGTAATAAGTATTAACATACGTACGACGTTACGAGAACTTCAGCATGTTGGCAGGTTTTGCCCATTGCTCTTTGCTGGTTAGAGATCCGGGGAGTATGATGTCGTGCTTCAAAATCCCGAGCATTCATGCCACATCTTAAGTGCATAATGATGATTGCAGTCTTTCCACGGATAAGAAGCACCCGCTACCTAGAGTATGGCAGCCATGTAAATCGTGCTGTTGCGCTGTAATATCGTCAGGGTTGTCAGCAAAGTCGTGCGGTAGATCAGGGGTCTTACTCCCCCATAAACGATTGATAGTCAGCACTTTCGCAATCCTTGCGCGCATCGGTGGAACAATCATCTGAGGTAGGGGGTTAGAGAAGAGCGGCCGAGGCCTGCGAGGCTAGATTCGCAGTAATTCATCTTCATTCTCACTCGTAGGAAATCATAATCGGTAATAAACGTGTTGGTGCGAAAGAGAAATGCGAGGGATAATTATGACGAATGAAGAATTCCTATGGCGTATGTAGAAGGGATGACGAATGGAATGATTGGACTAATGGCAATGTGTCGCGCGACTATTATTTAGCAGCTTAAACTTTGATTGGCTTGATTGGATAGAAGCAGTTCAACATCAGGGTCCACACAATACAGCACGTGTGAAATGTTTTGTTTCACGCATAATTGAGACATTTGATAGGCGCATAATTAAGAAGCCTTTGAAGTTGGTCGGGTCCCATTATAGAATGTACAATAAAAGGTGAACATATTTTGAAAATAGCCCTGATGCTTAAAGTCAGTCCCCCAAGAAGAATCAGTGATGATGCTTTATTTGGCTCCTTGGTCGCTTGAGTACTGTAAGATGGCGCAAAAACACTGCAAGGAGCATCCTTACAATTGTTGATGCACTAGCGGCATGTGCACCGATCAAAGAAGACCCTTTTTCTTTATACGAGAACTATTAATCAATTTGTTCATTCTATTCTGAGATGGGTAAGGGAATTCCGGCATGCTTCTAATTCTAGTGCTTCGCTCGTGGTTCATCCCAGTAGTGGAAGGGCCACACTCGAGACATTGTCACACAGCAGATTGGATAGAGCACTGAAGGTCTCACGTTGAAAATGCTCAAGTCATATTCCCAGACCTAAAATTGCACTCAGCATTCCCGATCAGTTGGCAACATAATAATAATGCCATATCATATTGATATTTCCATCCATAGTATCTACTATGCAAATATGTTACTCACTAACCCCCCTTACCATCATAAATAAATCTTAGGTGACAATGAGCACGGCGTGATTGGTCTAGGCACTGTCTTTAGGGCAGAAAGTCCGGCACAACTCCGGCCACTTGCGCGTTTCCTATATAAAATGCACATTCTGATCGAGTCATCACAGCCCGGTTAGCTCAATCGGTAGAGTAAGTTCTCACTTGCATATATCTATAAAACGATTCCATCACTAACCAATTCAACAGGCGTGAGACTCTTAATCTCAAGGTTGCGGGTTCGACCCCCGCATCGGGCTCAATTCCTGATGCTTCTCAGTTAACTGAGATTCGAACAACTCCTTTCTTTTTTGTAATTTTTATCGCTTTATGTTTTGTTGATGTTGCCGAGTCCTATACTGGTGGGGTGTTGCTGGTTGCGAGAATTTTGCGATGCTTTTGGATAATCAGTAGATATCGGCAGTCTCGGAGCGATTTCAGCCCATTGCTGCACAAGGCGAGGCGCTGTCGGCCCTTCTATGTATAAGCCTGACCGGTCTCGTTATTTCTCATCAGTAGAAGACTCTAGCGCTTGTACAATTGTGACTATGAATAGCCCCTGAGCCATATCAAAATAATCCCTTTTCAGTGACAAATATTGACTTGGGTGTACCAGAAAAGATATGTCCAGTACGCTAATTTTTATACAAAATGCTTGATATGCCTCGCTAACCACTCGATGAGAGCCAAAACCATGCTCCAAAGACAATTCAAAAAACGCTATTTTTGCTCCATTTATTAGCAGCTCTGATCCTCTTCCCAAAGAAATACAACACATACGGCACGGGGATCAGCAGAGCAGAAAACCCTGCGAAGATACTCGTACCTGGCCCAACTCCGATGTTGTGGTACAGAGGCGAGACAACCAACGGAAAAGCAGCAGCGAAACAGCTTCGCAGAAAGGTATTAGCTGCCACGGCAGAGGCGGCATACATCTGAAATGTATCAACTAGATAATTCAGTGCTGCTTGGAAGATGGTGTTGAAACCGCAGCCGGCAAGATACAACCCGATGACCGGTGCAATCCAAGGTGCTTGGTCCGGGTCCGCCGTCCAGGCTGTGATAAACAACCCTCCCGTAAATAGGACACTTCCAAACATCATCGGAGGCAATCTTTTCTCTGGTATAGCGCGATCACCAACAGCGTGATATGACTTATTATAGTAGAGCTGGTTGCTCATATTGATAGCAGCGCCGGTAAACGCGCCGAGCATGAGAGCGATGAAGGGAAGCTCGCTCCGCAGCGTCGTCCACCCCCTGATCTCGCCGAAGATGATGGGGACCGCACCGAGCTGCATGTACAAGATTCCGTAGCAGAAACTGGCGTAGAGCGCGACGAAGAAGCATATGGGCGTGGTCAGGAGCTGTATGGGACGCACGAGAAATTTTCTCGCGAGCTCCATGACGCTCACGTCCCATTCTTCAAATTTCGTGTGCAGAGCCCAGTTGCCAGTCTCGAATCGCAGTCGCCGCGCTTTCGCGACCAGGAGTCGAGGCGGATACGATTCGTCGATGAAGATGATGGCGAAAAGCAACACGACCGATTGCAGCATCCCAGTGGTATACTCGGTCCACCGCCACCCAAGACTCTGCTTCTGCACCACAGCAGCCGAGACAATCGGACCGACCGTCGGACCCCCCACCACCGCCATAGCGTACCCGGCCATCGCGATGCCGCGATACGCCGGCGTGTACAGGTCCCCAAGCACACCACCGGTATTCGTCACGGGCGCAGAGGCGAAAAAAGCGCCGAAAAACCGCGTCAGCATCAACGTCTGCAAGTCTTTCGCGACCGCAGACCCGAACGAGAAGCAGATCGCGACGAACATCGGCGTCAGCACCGCGACCCGACGCCCGTACACCTCGGACAGCGGCGCCCACAGCAGCGGGCCGAGCCCGAAACCCAGGAGGAACAGCGTCGTCCCGAGCGTCGCCACCTGCGTCCCGACGCCGAACTCGGCGGCCACCTGGCGCGTGCCCGCCGAGTACGACGACGAGGCCCACGTCGCCGTCATGGTCACGAGCCCGTACAGCAGCGTCGTGGCGACCTTCTTGTTCGTCGGCCAGTTGACCGGCCGGTACGGGTCGTCGGGCCCGTCGAAGTCCACGAGCACGTCCGGACCGGTCTTCTGCCGCGCGAGCGGGTGCGAGAACGGCGGCACTGTTGGGCGCGAGCGCACCCGCGACAGCACCGTGTCTCGTCGCGACAGCGTTCGCGAGAGCGATGCCGCGGCTCCTCCTCCTCCTCCTCCTTCTCGGCCCGTGGCTAGGGTCTGCGTTGTTCGTCTGCCAAGAGCCCGACTGTCGGGCTCCCGGTCCCGGGTTTGGTTGGCCTCCGGATCTGGCGCCGGTTCCCTCGTCGTAGATCCTCTCCCCGAGAGTTCGGAATCTTCGTCCTTCTCACTTATCGACATCTTGACCCGCTAGATTATTCCAAGAACAATGATCGTATATACATTAGATTTCCAAGACTGGTTAGGTAAGTCGTTAGATGAAAATGGCGTTTTCTAGTTTGTTATGCTGTATACCGGTTGTCGTCATTCCCGAAACAAATTGCCAAAAAAAAAATTTAAAGATTATATGTATTAGGTATAGGTCGATACCTATATTTTACATCATTAGTCGGCTCAATGGACCGGGGCCGAGGTATTCGACAGTTCCCAATTGCCCCCAAATATCAATGACGTAGGAATTCTCCAGATGTGTTCAAGGATTCGGGATGGGCTTAGCTTGTTTTGCTCAAATGGAGGATTCTGGGGTAGTAAAAAATATGTGACATGGAATTGCTTCTATACTGGATCTCGCTGGATCTTGGCATGGCACTACCCGAGTAATTATATACCACTGAAGTTCCGTGATGATTCTTGGTTCTCCGAGCGCGGCTCCGGCCAAGTCCGTCTGAAGATCGCTGCGAGACCCCGAGAGTCCCCGAATACGACTTTGCGCCTACGAAGGCGGTGTGAGATGCGAACTGTTATGGCAAAGATCACGGAATAAAAATCCCCCACAGCCATGGGTAGAGGCTCACATATCCGTGGTTAACTTCCAAAAATACGTTCAAAATCCTCCAATAGCCGTGTGGCCAACAAGCTGTAAATTCGAAGAGTTGGATGCTCTCACGAATTACAAACCCATACTCATCTCTGCCGATTAACCGTTGTCCAATGAAACGCGTCATCCTAATAGGAGCTTCAAGCTACCACCGAGCCGAAGCGCGAGACTAACCAATCTCATGTATAGTCCCCGGGCAAAAACGATGACAGACCCACTACTCGTCGAGTCAGTTCTGGACTAGAAGGAGAACAATAGAACAATAGCCTTGTCGGCTCCGAAGATGTTATACATATATGAACCAGTGCTGAGAATAATGCTTAAATAAATACAAAAAAATATTATTGGGTATCTGAACCTGTTGCCTCTATATGCACCGAAAATCCTGATAAAATGCTATACAACTGAAACCGCTTATGCTGAGTACCATCATAACTTGGGATTGAACCTGCCGCGTATGCGCTCGCCGAATTTATAAAAGATGAGCGGCAACGGAATAAGCGCGAGCGAGATGAACCCGAGAAGACTGTTGCCCCAGCCTAGGCCGAGGGCGTCGTACATCTCGAGACCGCCGAGGGGTAGAAGTGCGCCGAGGAGCGATCGGAGGACCGTCATGGCGGCTGTAGCCGATGCGGCGTAGCGGGGATAGGTATCGAGGAGATAGTTTTGGATGCAGAACTATTTGATATGTTAGCTGTATCAAGGAACAGAGACGATTCGAAGCAAACTCACCATAACTCCCATGAGTCCGGCGCTGAAGATAACAACACCGATCATGGGCACGATCCAATGCACGCCGAAGTTTGCTGTCCATCCGTATATAAACAGACCAATGGGGAGCGCAATGCCGCATGGTATCGTGAGTCTGGGGTCGATGCGGACTTCGGGTTTGTGGGTGATTCCCTTTGCTTGGTTCCCCTTAACCATTCTATCCGTGAGCTGCCCAAAGACAGCAATACCGATGAACATGCCTATTCCGGCGGGAAGGTACGTCAAGCCACTATTACCCTCGCTGAAGCCGTATTGCTCCGTATACACGAAAGAGAACGTCGTAATGAGGAGGTACAAAATACCATAAGCAATCGCGACGTAGAGGGCCAAGAGGGTCACGATCGGCGTGACTACTAGGAGCTTCACGGGCCGGATAATAGCCAGCTTGAACTGATCCTTGGGGCTCAGCCGTCCCGAAAGCTTGCTCTGGAGGTTTACGTTGCCGGTTTCCTTGATGAGTTTCTTTGTCCTGTTCTCGAGAAGGACGGGCGCGAAGGTCTCCCGTAGGAAAAAGACGGAAAGGGGGATAAGAACTCCGGCCTAGAACCGTGTTAGCTCGCATGCATGCGACATGTTGGAGACAATATTAATTACCAGAATCGCTAGTAGCCAGTATACCCATCTCCATCCAGCACCCTCGACCAAGTAACCACCTGCAATAGGACCAACACAAGGTCCGAGGAGCGGACCCAAGGCCCATGCCGCCATAGCGCTACCACGCTTTTCGACGGGCATCACATCCGCAATGCTGCCACTTCCAATAGTGATCGGGACGGATCCAGCCAGACCCATGAGGAGTCGGAAGGCCATCAACATGCCGATACCATTCGAAAGAGCGGCGCAGACGGAGAATATGACGAAGAGTATGTTGCCGTAAATGTATAGAGGTCTACGACCGAAAATCTCACTCAAGGGCGCGACGAAGAGCGGTCCGAATGCGAATCCTAGGATATAGACTGAGACGAGAAACGTAGCGACTGTGGATGACGTCTCGTGGAATTGTAGCATGATGCCGGCGACGCCAGGGGCAAACATCGAAGATCCGAGTGGTCTATAGCAGGTTAGTATACAATTATGCAGCGGTGCTCTGCAGTGCAATACTCACGTTACAATGGTCATTATTGACAAGATGGAGATGTTCAGCCATTTCTCCTTATCGGTCCAGTTCATCGGATTTCCCATATCGTCTGGTCCGTCCCAATCCACAACATTCGGATCCTTTTCTTCAGAAGTGGTTCTGACATCTTCGACACCAGCTTCCACGTCTCGATCTGACCCCGGTTCGATAGTCGAGGAATCTGCATCGTGACTCTTGGCGTTAGATGCCCTCTCCATCTTCTCGACATCCATCTTGGCTTGCGATATTGAAGGGACGATTGGACGATCTGTTTTGTTCCTATAAGAATCACAAAAGCTTGGCAGCCACAAGGAACGACGA